AGGCTCAGTCCTGGAGGAGACCAGTTAACGGAAACCAGCGCCCACCTCAGCCTGCTGCTCACTGCCTAGAGCAGGAGGAATTTTGGGGCATTCTGCACGAGGCAGACCCAGTGCAAGCGGCTCACCAGGATAATCGCCAGCAACATCGGCAAACTGTGAAGCTAAATGGCAGAGTGGTGAATGGGCTGAGAGACACAGGAGCCACGATGACACTGCTCCAAAAGAACTTGGTCTCAGAGCATCAACACACTGGAGACACTGTGGCAGTAAGGGTAGCAGGGGGTGCCGTGTTTCGCTTACCTGTTGCCCGAGTACATTTGGATTGGGGAGTGGGCGCTAGGCATGTGGATGTGGGGGTGATGAAGGACTTGCCCGCAGATGTTCTTTTGGGAAACGATTTGGCCCCTTTGGTTTCAGCCTATGCTCCGATGGGCCCTGCAGACGTGAACCCAGTGACCACCCGTGCCCAGACCCGTGCTGCCGGAACCAGCCCACTTGCTGACGAGACCCAGATGCTTCCATGTATGGACTGGGGGCTGTGCTGAGCCAAGTCGGGGAAGATGGAGGAGAGCACCCTGTCGCATATCTCAGCAGAAAGTTGTTACCCAGAGAAGTGAGTTATGCGGCAGTGGAGAAGGAATGCTTGGCCTTGGTCTGGGCCTTGAAAAAGTTAAGCCCCTATTTGTATGGGCAAGAGTTTTCCCTTGTGACTGATCACAACCCACTCGTTTGGCTTAACCGGGTCTCAGGAGACAATGGGAGACTGCTGAGATGGAGCTTGGCACTACAGCCCTACAATTTTACCATCAGCTACAGACCCGGTAAGCTAAACGGAACCGCAGATGGGTTGTCACGACAAACAGACGTTTCCATCACCTCGTAGTCCGGTCATCCCCAAGTTGACCCGCCACAGGGTCAAGCCGGGTCTGCCGGAGTGTCCCACAAGGAGGGAGCCGTGTGACAGAACCATCTGTCTGCTGGATTTTTGCCCGTTCGCCTGTTTGTCCCCGTTCGTATGAATGGCTGGTTTCTATAGCCCAGCCATTCGAATGACTCTTTTTCCCGAACAAAACCGCCGAACGAACGGCCACCCAAGTGAGGAGTGTGCTGCAGGTTAACGAAGTGATCACCATTATAACGCTGTGGTTAACCGCAGACACTTCTCAATTAAACCGAACTCAGGGTGGTCGTCGTTCGTATGTCGACCACGAGGCAGCGGCCATTTTAAATCATGCGAACGCTCAGCGGTGTTTGGCTCTATTTCTATGGAACGGAAAACGGACACTTTTTCTGTCGAACACCGCTGAAACAAGGGAACGCCTGGCTGCCTCCACGAAAGCATGCGAACATCGGCCGTTCGGGAGATTGAGAACACACAAAAGACTTAACCCAGATAGCCCACCCATGGAGTCATTCGTGTACCGAAGGACTGTAAGAACTTTGACTCCATGGCGATTGAACTATGTGTGTGGGATCTGAGCGCTATTCGCCAATAATATGCACTCAGACCCAGGCTATCTGGGGACATGTAATACGAATGGGAAATGTTCAGTCTTCATGTAGTTATGCATTTTTGTGTCTTTTATTATTTCATGTTTAAGATGGCGACTGTCCTTGTCCTGGAGTTAATTGAGTTACTTGGTAATTAACTCCAGGACAGAGGGGAGGGAATCAGAATGTACTGTGGGTAAAATATGTGACTGTGTGTCAGAAATGTCCTGCTATCTGTCTGTACTTTAAGTCTTCCATTTGGTCCCCTAGGGGAGTGTCCACCAGGGGGGAGACCTGCATAAATACGGGCAGGTAGCCCACAGTAAACCCAGATCTTATTTGACCCTCAATGCGGAGCTTCTGTCTCGTTATTGGGGGGATTTCTTCTTCATGTTTAGAGACTGCTGGATGGAACGAAAGCCGCTTTGGGGATATTATTGTTCGACGGTTCCTAGCAGTTCGTATATTGCCGTTCGGGAGTTTGGAGCCGTTCGTGGATTTCGATCGGGAGATTGCCGCTTCCCCTGCATTTGGTTCGTGGGTTACAGAGTAAGCGAACAGAGACTGTACTGCAGCCGGGGAAGGTTTACTAAACGGCGGTTTGGCTTAAAGACACGGGAGGTGTCTTAACACACTCATACACACTATGCATTACTGTGAGTTTTATTACTGTGGAGCTCTGTGATACACTCATACACACTTTGCATTACTGTGAGTTTTATTGCTGTGGAGCTCTGTGATACACTCATACACACTATGCATTACTGTGAGTTTTATTACTGTGGAGCTCTGTGATACACTCATACACACTGCACATTACTGTGAGTTTTATTGCTGTGGAGCTCTGTGATACTCATACACACTGTACATTACTGTGAGTTTTATTGCTGTGGAGCTCTGTGATACACTCATACACACTGTGCATTACTGTGAGTTTTATTGCTGTGGAGCTCTGTGATTCTCTCATTCACACTGCATGTTACTGTGAGTTTTATTGCTGTGGAGCTCTGTGATACACTCATACACACATTACTGTGAGTTTTATTACTGTGGAGCTCTGTGATACACATACACACTGCTCGTTACTATGAGTCTTATTGCTGTGGAGCTCTGTGATACACTCATACACACGGCACATTACTGTTGTGAGATTTATTACTGTGGAGCTCTGTGATACACATACACACTGTGCATTACTGTGAGTTTATTACTGTGGAGCTCTGTGATACACTCATACACACGGCACATTACTGTGAGTTTTATTGCTGTGGAGCTCTGTGATACCTTCATACACACTGCACATTACTGTGAGTTTATTACTGTGGAGCTCTGTGATACACTCATACACACTATGCATTACTGTGAGTTTTATTACTGTGGAGCTCTGTGATACACTCATACACACTTTGCATTACTGTGAGTTTTATTGCTGTGGAGCTCTTTGATACACTCATACACACTATGCATTACTGTGAGTTTTATTACAGTGGAGCTCTGTGATACACTCATACACACTGCACATTACTGTGAGTTTTATTGCTGTGGAGCTCTGTGATACTCATACACACTGTACATTACTGTGAGTTTTATTGCTGTGGAGCTCTGTGATACACTCATACACACTGTGCATTACTGTGAGTTTTATTGCTGTGGAGCTCTGTGATACACTCATACACACTGTGCATTACTGTGAGTTTTATTGCTGTGGAGCTCTGTGACACACTCATACACTCTGCGCATTACTGTGAGTTTTATTGCTGTGGAGCTCTGTGATACACTCATACACACTGCACATTACTGTGAGTTTTATTGCTTTGGAGCTCTGTGATACACTCATACACACTGCACATTGCTGTGAGTTTTATTCCTGTGGAGCTCTGTGATACACTCACACTGCACATTACTGCGAGTTTTATTCCTGTGGAGCTCTGTGATACACTCATACTTAACTTTTTTTTTAAATGATGGATTCCAGGAAAGTACGATGGACGGAGGAAGCTAGGCCTTACTGAAAGGCAGTTATTATTATTATTATTATTATTATTATTATGTTATTATTTATACAGCGCCAGCAAATTCCGTAGCCCAGTTCCATGATGTGTAACCCAGAGATGTCTATTCATTTAAATATTACAAAAGAACAGTGAAGACTTGCTTTGAAACCTCATATGTTTCTGAATTACTTATCCCATGGTTACCAGCCAGTCTTAAAGGGACACTCCACTGCATTTCAGCAAATTAAAGTGATTTAAGTGTGTGTATTGTTCCCTTAAGGGAACCTATAGTTACCTGAACAACTACATCTTATTGTATAGGATACAGCTTAACTGTAGGCTTTTTCTGTAAACACTGTATTTTCAGAGAAAAGGCATCATTTCCATTGCTCCCTAGGGATACCTTCAGGGCAGTCCCCTTTAGACAGCCAATAGAAGTGCTTCCTTGGTGACGTTTAGTGTCTCCATGCTGTGCATGAAGTCGATGATCTTTTCCCATAGATTTGCATGAGGAGAAGATGATTGGCCCAGCGTTTTGATGCGCATGCGCAATAGACTCCCAGTGCATTCCTATGGGAAAGCATTGAATTGGCTGAGATTCCAGCCACGGGGACAGATTGGGGTGGAACCACCCAAATAGTGATTTAAACACTACAGGGTCAGGAATACACATTTGTATTTATGACCCTATAGTGTTCCTTTAAGGCATACTATGCATCATGGTAAATGTAGTTCAGAAACATCTGGGGGTGCAAAACCAAGCTTCCTCAACCTAGGGTAAAATGTAATATTTACATTGTGATTACTCTGCGTCTCCCATATTATCTGCTATTAGACAGAAATTCTCGGGGTGTCAGAAAGTGGGGAGAAGGTAATCCACCTTGGGTCATGACAAATTGTGTTTGTATGAAGACGCTTTCTTCACTCTCTATGTACAAATCAACCAAAACCACGAGAGATGCCTTCTGCAACAGAAGGAAACGATGCAGAAAGGATTCTGAGTTAGTTAATAGAATGGGTAGTAAAGGGGAACCGTCTCTTCTCTGTGTGTTACACCATTGAATACAACACTGAAAATCACCTACAACTGGAAGAACTACATTTAGCAAATTACAACTGCAGCTATAAGGTTATGGTGTAAGGAGGTCCCCTGTCTCCCCGCACACAGTGTATTATAACTGCAGCTATAAGGTTATGGTGTAAGGAGGTCCCCTGTCTCCCTGCACACAGTGTAATATAACTGCAGCTATAAGGTTATGGTGTAAGGAGGTCCCCTGTCTCCCTGCACACAGTGTATTATAACTGCAGCTATAAGCAGCTATAAGGTTATGGTGTAAGGAGGTCCCTGTCTCCCCGCACACAGTGTATTATAACTGCAGCTATAATGTTATAGTGTAAGGAGGTCCCCTGTCTCCCCGCACACAGTGTATTATAACTGCAGCTATAAGGTTATGGTGTAAGGAGGTCCCCTGTCTCCCCGCACACACTGCATTATAACTGCAGCTATAAGGTTATGGTGTAAGGAGGTCCCCTGTCTCCCCGCACACAGTGTATTATAACTGCAGCTATAAGGTTATGGTGTAAGGAGGTCCCCTGTCTCCCCGCACACAGTGTATTATAACTGCAGCTATAAGGTTATGGTGTAAGGAGGTCCCCTGTCTCCCCGCACACAGTGTATTATAACTGCAGCTATAAGGTTATGGTGTAAGGAGGTCCCCTGTCTCCCCGCACACAGTGTATTATAACTGCAGCTATAAGGTTATGGTGTAAGGAGGTCCCCTGTCTCCCCGCACACAGTGTATTATAACTGCAGCTATAAGGTTATGGTGTAAGGAGGTCCCCTGTCTCCCCGCACACAGTGTATTATAACTGCAGCTATAAGGTTATGGTGTAAGGAGGTCCCCTGTCTCCCTGCACAGTGTATTATAACTGCAGCTATAAGGTTATGGTGTAAGGAGGTCCCCTGTCTCCCACACACAGTGTATTATAACTGCAGCTATAAGGTTATGGTGTAAGGAGGTCCCCTGTCTCCCCGCACACAGTGTATTATAACTGTAACCATAATGTATTATAATTGTGTAATGTGTAATGTGAACGAATCACCAGCTCAGGCTACCCCATTAATGGCAGATCAGCCTGGCGTCAACACACCCCGGACTTTCTGCCTAGGTTTTAGGGCCAGTCCACTGATGGCAGACACTGCAAGAAGTATGGCCTGAATGCACTCTGCAGGGTTCTAGTGTTTATTGAAGATAGCTCCCTGGTGTCCCAAAAAAATGGAGGCCACGGAGCTAAGCTGGGATGATGGGACAAGACCCCAAAATCACGACTGTTCTGCTGAAATCATACTGACATGAACAGGAATGAGTTCTAAAGGGCAATGTTTAGTGGGCTCCGCCAATTAATCAAGGGTCTCTACCCAAAACACCTCGGCTCCCATTGCTGCTCTGACCTCTACTTCTCCCCAACATGCCGCTCTGTCTCTGCACCTCTTACTCCAAGGGAACATGTCTCTCCTGTTCACAGAGTATTGCACTTGAGAGTCAGCTGGCTTCTAATCCATGTGTGTCAGCATTTTGTGACATCATTAATTGGGTACTTTGCTTATTGAGGGGATAATGACTTTAGGAAAATGCATTATTTAGGTGCTGGGAGTCTACAGCAGGCTAACATGGATGTAGTGAAATCTTTGCAGGAGGTTCGACATACGACAAGCCGATGTCCGATTGTTCACAGAGTTTTTAAAAAATAACAAACGTTTCACAAGTCGGATTTATTTTTTTGTATTTTTTTTTTTTTTTTACAGGACGCCCAACATAGACAGGGTTATTCTTCAAAATTAGAAATTTTGGTAATTCAAAGTAAATATCAAACTTAGGGACTAAGTAGCCAAACTGGAACTGGAGAATGTTTCCAGCTCAACTAGATTTGCCTTAAATTTGAAATTCACTTTGATTTCCAGATAATTCTCCCATTAGTGAATAATTCTATAAACCTTTTAGGATTGCTGTTATTTTAAGTAGTAATCTTACTTTAGGAATAGCTGAAAAGTAGAACTCTAACTCCCATAACGCTCTGTCAGATTTAAAGCTACCTTATCTATTTTACATCAAGGTAACGTTATATATATTTATTATTTTGTTTCGCATGATACTTGCTCAGTGCGTCACTATGGGCTGTTGACCCATAAATAAATGTAAATGATAATGGTTAAAAAGCTGAATGTGAAAGCTCAGAGCGATCCCACGATAAGGTGTTATCTCACGTTTTAACCTCCAGAGGAAGTAAGGACAGACGGTGTCAAATACTGCATTACATCAACGTTCATTTCTAACAGCAAATGGGTTTATGCAGAAAATAGATAAAGGCGATATGGACTTGTAACAACAAAAACACATTTTCTGAAAGCTGTACATTGATTGCTTAGTGATGGATGTTTGCTGGTAAACCTCCTAGACTTTAAACTCAGTGATATTATTAGGTAAAGTGTTATTTTGGATTTAGCAAACTCAAAAAAGATCCCCTCCCAAAAAATATGTATCGCAAAATATACAAATTAACACAAAATGCTCCTAAAAGAGCCCCAAGGTGGGGTAGACTCGCTTTCGTCTATGTGGGAATTAAAACATAAGCAATTCCTGAATTAGTCCAGAATATAGAAAAAAAGACGGTTATGTGTTTTCAATAAATAAGTACAGGATAAGATTGGAGCCCAGGCTGTGTGTGCGCAGTTTTGAATACGTGTATCTATGTGTTTGTGAATGTATGCGTGATGGTGAATGAGTGTATTTAGTAGGTAAGTAACTGGTTAGCTTTGCTTATTTGTCTAACGTGGTTTTTCACTACAGTGTTCATTTTGTCGACTAACAATTTTAGTCAAATTTTAGTCGACTAAAATATTTTAGATTTAGTCAGCTAAAAGTAGACTACAACTAAAACAATTCAGATGACTAAAATACGACTAAAACTAAAATGTCTTTTTAGTCAAAAGACTATGATTAAAACTAAATTGAAATTTGCCGCCAAACTTAGCACTACAGAGAGGTGGTGGAAGGGCCAAACAAGAAAGACCAGGACTTGGGAGAGAGACACTTAGAGGGGCTGGGAGGACACAGAGAGACACAGAGGGGCTGGGGAAGGGGCAAGAGAGACAGACCAGGGCTTGGGAGAGAGACACCTAGAAGGGCTGGGAGGACACAAAGAGACATAATTATTATTATTATTATATTATTTTATTATTATATTCATTATTATATTATTATTATTATTATTATATAATTATTTTTATATAATTATTATTATATAATTATTATTATATAATTATTATTAATTTTAGTGTTTTATTATTAATTTTATTATTATTTGTATTAATTATTATTATTATTAATAATTTTATTATTATTATTATTATTATATTATTATTATATAATTATTATTATTATTGTTTTATTATTATTATATTATTTTATTATTAAATTATTATTATATTATTTTATTATTATTATTATTTTTATTATTAATTTTATTATTATATTATTATTATTATTATTGTTTTATTATTTTATTATTATATTATTTTATTATTAGATTATTATTATTATATTATTATTATTATTTTTATTATTATTTTATTATTATTATTATTTGTTGTTGTAACAGGCTGGGAGGGAGGGAGGGAGGGAGTGAGGGAGGGAGTGGAGCTGGCAGGCCGCGTTGCCATGGCGCCGTGACGTCACGCTCAGACTCTATAAAAGCCGTGTCCCCGGCTCGGGCTGTCAGTCAGGCAGTCGGACGGCGAGGTGGCTGCACGGAGCGAGCTGCACTCAGAGCCGGTCACAGCCAGCACGATCCCCCCCATAGCCCCCGGGAGGTGCAGGGGAGCCCCCCGATCACACAGCCCCCTCCCCCCCTCCTCCTTCATGCACCGCCTGCTGCACTGGGACCCGGCAGCATGTCTACCACCCCCGCCGGCAGCTAGATCCATGGAAGCGGGACACTACTACTGCGAGCCTGCACACAGCATCGCGGAGTGCCTGGGGGGCAAGCCTCACCGGCGGGGGGGCCCGGAGCCCAGCATCGGGGAGCACGAGCGAGCCATCGATTTCAGTCCCTACCTGGAGCCCGGGGCGGGGAGCGGCAGCCCGGCGGCGGTGGTATCCGGGGGGTACGAGCAGCCCTGCGGGGACTTCCTCATAGACCTGCTCTCCGCGGACGATTACAAGGGGCTCCGCAAGGGGGCGCTGCTCTACTCCGGGCTGGCCAAGCAGCACCCCCACTCTGGATTATTGGGGGGCCCCGGGGACAGCAAGGCAGACCCCCCTGCGCTCCTCGAGAGCCTGGACTGTTACAAGGGCCCCCGGGGGCCCCCCAAGGAGGAGCCGGCCATGCAGAGCGCGGGGTCCCCCTTCACCATCAGGTCGTTTTTGGGGTACCAGTCGGTGCCCAGCGGGGGGAGCAGCTCCTCGGGGAGCCCCCCCGGGACCCCCAACCCGGCAGACCGCAAGGAGGGCAAGGCCGGCGGCTACAAGGGCAAGAAAGTGCTGGACAAGCACAGCGACGAGTACAAGATCCGCAGGGAGCGGAACAACATCGCCGTCAGGAAGAGCCGGGACAAAGCCAAGATCCGCACCATGGAGACCCAGCACAAGGTCCTGGAGCTCAGTGCCGAGAACGAGCGCCTCCAGAGGAAGGTGGAACAGCTCACCCGAGAGCTGACAACGTTACGGAACCTCTTCAAACAGCTACCGGAGCCCCTGCTGGCCGCCAGCGGGCGCTGCTAGACTCCGCGGGGGCGGGGCGATCAGGGACACGCCCACTGTGCTTCTTCTACCAGACTGGATCACATGGATCAGCAGCAATGCCCCCTCTATTAATGGGGAGCCCCACTCTACAGAGGATGTAATGCCCCCCCACCATCATGTACTGTAGTGTTATATACAGTATGGGGGGGGCGCTGGATATTGAGGAAATTGTGGCTTTTTATTGTATTCTGTGATGTTCCTTATGCTGGAGGGAAAAAAGACCTGGTATTGGGGAGGGTTGTTGGTGGGATTTGGTACCGAAAAGGTTAATGCGCACAATAATGTAAGGGGGTCACTTCTGCCTGTATGTGTAATAGCAGCTGAAGTTCACTCATCTGGAAGCTGCTGCAGAACCTCTTTGCTGTAGGTTGCCATGTCTTGGCAGGGTTTGTGTTGGTGTTGGTTTAATAGCCCTCTGTGAGTGGCAAAGCAGGTTTCTACAGTGACCCAGATTTCTGAACTACAGGGGCTTATTCTCTAAACTGCGAATTGTGGTGAATGAGCTTTGCAAACTAAACACCGGCGCAGCAGTTACTTAGAAAGAACTTCTATAACTGGACAATTGGCTGTTCAAGGAATAAGCCCATTCCAGTATGACGGTGACACCCGGCAGATCTGTACTTGCAATCCTTGTTTTACTTTGAGACTTTGTTACAAGGGGCGTATTCACTAAAAGGCGAATTGTAAACAGAGTTGCATTTACGTTCACCACCATCGTTGGTGCATAAACCCCTTGGTAACAATGATGCTGACAGCTTGTGTAATAGTATAATTATGTACTGTTGGGCAGATATTTTGGCTCTTAGGAGGGGGTCTCAGGAATATAAGCCCCTCTTAGACTTCAGAGTTTGTCAAGCACAGTGTCCCCGCTCCTTAATATTAAAAGGGATTAACCTTCAGAGTCTCTGGAAATGTCATTGCCAGTACCCCTCTTTTAATCCAGTGTTGCACCCACTAACAAACTGTGGATTGGGCGTTTAGATGGCAATCAGAATTTGTATTGAGTGGGGAAAGTGGACATGGATCCCTTCTAGCTGCTATGTATGTCCTATATGTGTATTTTTTATTTAATGCTGAACAGCAAAACATGCACTGTGTATATAGTATGCAGCCACCCATCAAGGTTCAGGACAGCAGATAATATTTTATAGGGTTTGTATTGCACCCAGAGCAGAGACTTTCACAATGTTATCTTGGGTTTTGTCTCCCTTGGTCTGTGGACACCCATTGGGGTTTGAGGAAGTCTGGAGGGTTTATTAAATAAACTACAACTTGTAGTGAATTTAAAAAGCGAATTGTAAGATTTGGATTAAAACCACCGAGCTGTTACGATGCGTGATTTGGGGAATTCTTCCAGATCTGCTATTCTGTTTTTAGTTTACTGCAATTTTTAGTGAGTAGCCATCTGTTCTGAACACTTTCAAACAGGTCACCCCTGTAGTAAAACGTTCTGGTGTGAGACCGTTAATCTATCTGCTTTCTGTGTACACAATACTTTAAACCCCTTGGACTGTCTTAACTGCGATTTGGCACTAATTACTTATCACCCCAAAGAGGTCTATTCACTAAATGACTAGAAGCAGCAAGTTTGAAACCACTGGGCAAATTAAAGCCAAAATTGTGAAGTTGGTGAAATCTGACTTTTAACTTAAATTATTTTATATTTCTTTGCCTAAATTGTGCATGCCAGTTTGCGGTTTAGCGAATAGACCACATGGAAACACTTGCTGAAAGACTAAAGTGTGCAAAAATAGCTCTGTTAATGACAAGCTATTCCCATACCAGCCAAGGTGAATTTCCCTTGTTTTCTCAAATCTGATGCAATTCTATAAGAGAAGGAGAAATCTCATACAGCCCTCCTTGTCATCATATCTGATGGCAAGGCAATGAACTGTACTGTGTAGGTTACCATGCTCATTACAGACAGGCAGCAACTCCGTATAGCATCCCTTAACGCACGGTACTCTGCTAACCTGGGCTAAGGCCAGTGCGTTCATTTGTAGCTTCTAAGATTTGCTGGCAGAGTGTAATAAGAGTTGTAATCTGTTCAGATGGAGCACAGGCAATAATTGGACTCTCAGCCACAGGAAAAAGGCCACCTGTGCCAAGAATCCCACTGGTGTTGGTGCAATTTACTCCCAACAATCCCTTTCCTCTAACCTGGCTTAGAATGATGGGTCAGGCACAGGTGCTATTGCTGCAGCCTTCATTTGGCACTTAATGTTTAATACCATTTTATGTTTTTATTTTGGGCACTTTGACAATATTTGGGAGATTTTAAAAGACGTTGGGTATTGCAACGAACTGCACTTTGACAGAACTGCATTAAAAGAAATCACAAAGGGCACTTAATTTTTTTTAATATAGTAAAAAATATATTAAGTCTTGGGTGTTAATGGTATATTGAAAAAACAAACCTACGTTTTTTGTTAACCGTTCAGTCAAATGACTTGCCTCTTGAAAAAGTACCAAAGGCAGTAGGGGGGGCAATTTCTCAGCGAATATACCATGCCTCCTTTCTGAAATTAAAATGTAAATAGTTTTAATCACCCAGAGATAGTTTCATGGCAATGTTCAAAGCCTTTCAATTTTATTTTTTTTCTTAAATACAGAAAGTGAATATTGTGTAATCCCACCGTACTAGCACACAGGTTTAATAGTGTTACTTTAAGAAATGATAAATGTTTTACACTCAGTGATGCAATACTTTAAGCAAGGCTAAGAAAGGTCTGCTTATTCCAGATGATGCAATATTATGTAACTCAGCCATGAGAGGTGTAATCTTTTTAAAGATGTTTTTTGTTTTTCTAAAAAAAAATCTATTTCTGTATGAACAAAACATTTTGTATATTTTGGGATCTTTATATTGAAAGCATTAATGAACAATTGTTAATAAATTTGTATGCTCTCGTTTGCAAAAATGTGAAAAAATAATTCATTTGTTCTAAATTATTTGTATTTGTACAAGAAAAGCCATAGGTAATAGCTACTACACCTAGGCCATGGATCTACAGCCTGTCATGATGCATAAATGTCATTTTTCTTTTTTTACACCCATCTGCCTGTCCAGTCTTTATTCGCCATTAAAACTGTTATATTTTTATATTGATCATGATTGTGTATTAATCATTTAAAGGAATATTATTGTTTGCACATACCGCTCCTTTAGAATAGTTTGTGTCTTGGACATAGTCTTTTTATTTTTTAAAATCTGTCCCAGGATTAAACTAGCACTTCAGAATCAGGAGTAGGGGGTGCAGTATTCTCTGCACAGATTGTCGGGGAGAAAAAGGGAGGGCTTGCAAAGGCTGCAGAAAGCAAGGTTCCCACCCATTTACCTTAAAGAAAAATGCATACATACTTTCTTTGTGGCCATATCTTCTAAATTGTTATAAAAGTCAGTGGAGCGTTCCTTTAAAATCTGTACAATCCAGATTATTCAAGGCTGGACCTCACCACCCAATAATAATTACCTTACCAATTTATCTGAAGATTCCTTTAGTTATTGACAGGGGCAGAAAGTAAAGAATAGGTTGGCTTTATCAAGGTACCAATTAAAGGGATTCTATAGTGCCAGGAAAACAAACTTGTTTTTCTGGCACTATAGATTTCCCCTCTGTCAAGGCACCCTACCGCAGCATTGAAGGGTTAATAACCCCTTCAGTCACTTACCCGGGTCCAGTGCCGATGTCCCTCAGTGCTGTCTCAGCTCGGTCCGCGCTCCTCCCCTGTTGACAACAGCCAGTGCGAGAGACCTAATGCGCATGTGTGGAAATGGCCGCACTCTCATTAGGATCTCCCTATAGTAAAACATTATTCAATGCTTTCCTATGGGGAAAATCTGATGCTGGAAGTCCTCATGCTGAGCGTGAGGACGTCCAGCATCAGATAACGGACCAAAAGTAGGTTTCAATTCCCGAAGTCCCTCTCTGTAATTCAATGAATCATGAGAGCTGTAGTTCAGCAATATGTGGGGGGGCAGAGTTTGAGGACAGCCAAGTGAAGACTTAAAGGACCACTTCAGCTCAATGAGGTGGTCTGGGTGCCAGGTCCATCTAGGGTTAACCCTGCAGCTAGCAGTTTCAGAGAAACTGCTATGTTTAAATTAGGGTTAATCCAGCCTCTAGCGGCTGTCTCATAGACGGGCGCTTCTGCTCTTCTCACTGTGATTTTTTTTTTTTTTTTAAGTGAGAAGACGCCAGCGTCCATTGGAAAGCATTGAGAAGGCTTTCCTATGGACTGACTGCGTGTGCGGCTCTTGCCGCGCCTGCACATTCATCAGAAGAGGGAGAGCCCCCAGCGCTGGAGAAAGGCAAGTGTTTAACCCCTTCCCCTCTCCTGGGGAGAGGGGCCATGATGGTGGGGGTACCTATTAACACTATTGTTTTCCTTGCACTATAGTGGTCCTTTAACCCTCAGAGGTAATTATTGCAGTTTATAAAAACTGCAAAATGACCACTGCAAGGTTAAGGGTGATGGGAGTTTGCCCCAAGGCTACTTCAATGAGCTGAACTGGTCTGGGTGCCTACAGTCTCCCTTTAATCACATGAGGGTCTGATTCCGTTACCAAACTGGTTTTATTAAGGTATACTGGCACCTGTTACTACTCTTCTCGCAGTAATAAGGCTGCTTATTGTACTGTAAGGATAGCTTTATTTCCTTATTGGGAACACAACCATCTTATCAGACTGAACATACCGTAATTATTTTTTGCTTTTTCTTCCTTTTCCACAACCCAAATGTACTGGTATTATAGAAGGGTTTTGTTCACTAATCTCCAAATACTAGCAAAAAAGGCTACAAAGTTGATCTGTGACTAGCCTGGCTGGAGAATGTCTCCACATCAGCTATTTTTTTTTTTCCAATATTTTCCTTACTACATTTTGGGCTTTAGTAAATAATGTTGGCTGAGTTCATGACTTTAGTTTCTTTTTTAATGCTGTAAAGCAAGCGCAAAGATGAAAGCATTTTAGGATATGATTTAACATTATTTTCTGGTACTTGTATTGGGAAAGAAAGCAATGATCTGTTTTCAGCTAATGCCAATATATCTAGAATACAGATGGCCACGTACCTCCCAAGTGTCCCTGTGGCTGTTTTTAGATCATGCCCATAAATTATACCGATGGAAATAAACTGACAGTCAACTACCTACCTGTGTTAAAAATGATCAGTGGAAGATAAGCTTAAATCTTTCCATATTTAATATGGAGCAAAAAACTGGTCTGCCGTGATGGGAGTCTTCCCTTATCGGACACAATACAAGGCCACCAGCTTGCTGCTTTGTGTAAGTCCAGTTTGAGTCCGGCTGCTTTCCGCAGTGAAGATCTTTGTGTTTTACTCCTGATGCTGTCTGGATAAAATTCTGATACATCTAATGGCTCTTAGGGTAGGAAACAGGAATTCTGCTGTTTAAATCAAGACCTGCAGGTTATCCAGACTACCAAATCTCTTATTGCACTGTTACCAAATATTGATCAGACTTGACCTGTTAGTCATCAACTATGCTTCCCACAATCCTTCAGTCACATAACTGCTGCTGGCAGATGGTAAAAAGGGATTGTAGTTCATGGTGCATATTTCACCACCGGTTGCCAATGTGTCTCGTTGTGGGTGAAATTAACACATTTGGAAAATGCCAAATTCCTAAATCACTTTAACGAATGTGCCCCTGTTTTTTCATTTGTCACTTTGATAAATGAGCCTTGTTACACCCCCTTGGCTGTCAATCAGAGAACTGGTCCTGTTACTTCCTGGCATCAGCATGCAGAGCACATTATATTGGGTCAAGAATAGGCAACCTTTGGTACTCCAGATGTTGAGGACTACATCTCTCACAATGCTCTTACAGCCATAGAGATGTAGTGCACATCGGGAGTGCTGAAGGTTTCCTACTCCGCATTAGGCTTTGCAGCTGGGGAAAACTGGTAAAAAATAAATACAAATTTAGGTAAAAGATACAAACTATACACTTTTACTCTCCTAATAACTAGGTCTACACAGAGGCTTTCTTCCAAAACATAAGCTAATCACCAACTAACATAAAAGTGCGGGCAAAAAGGGCAGCTTGGGCCTGCATTAGGATGTGCCAGGCACCTGTCTATACTTCCTGGTTGTATAGCTCAGTAGAACTAGAATCAAAAGGCAGCAATTGTTTAGAGAACCTGAATTGGGATTCTGTGATTGGACAATCACAGACAGTCTGGGTGGGGATAGAAGGGGAGGGCCTAGCAAGACTGCACCATTTGCAAGACTTGTATTTTTCATTTAAGTTAAATTAAAAAATAATTATTAAATGCCTTAAGTTAATCATTTGGGTTATAGCTATTAAACTGTGATTTGATTTTGGGTAGTGGAGTGGCCCTTTAAAGATGATCAGAAAGTTGAACATGAGTGTGCACATGCTAAGCCCCACATGTGACCAGAAACATGTGGGGCTTAGCATGTGCACACTCCTGTTCAGGAACACCATAGCGTTAGAAATACAATTCTGTATTTATAATGCTGTATTGTCCCTGTTCCTAGCTGGATGTTGGGTGCCCCCCCACATTGTCATTAAAATAAGTTTTACTTAGCGCGGGTGCTGTTCACCTCCATTGACCTCATGGAGCAGGTATGACCACCACCACTCTCCAGTCCCATAGGCGTGCGCAGCCTATTGCATTAGGTTGTGCACCCTAGAGCACAAGCACATGCCACGTATATGTATATTGTGTATGTGTGTGTATGTATGTATGTATGTATGTATATATATGTGTATGTATATATATGTGTATATGTGTGTATATATGTGTATATATATGTGTGTATATATGTGTATATATATGTGTATATATATGTGTATATATATGTGTGTGTGTGTGTGTGTATATATATATATATATATATATATATATATACACACACACGCACTGCTGTGTGAGGGTGCTGTTAGTGTGATGTGTGGGTGCTGGTAGTGTGATGTGTGGGTGAGGGTGTTTGTGTGTGCACGCTTGTGAGGGTGCTGTTAATGTACTGTGTGTGAGGGTACTGTTTGTGTTTGAGGGTACTGGTAGTGTGCTGTGTGTGTTTGTGAGGGTGCTGTTAGTGTGCTGTGTGTGTGTGAGGGTGCTGTTTGTGTGCTGTGTGTATGTGTGGGTGCTCTATGGGTGTGTGTGTAGGTGCTGTGTATGATTGTGGGTGCTGTATGTGTGTGGGTGCTGTGTATGCCTGTGGGTGCTGTATGTGTGTGGGTACATTACTTAATATCCTCCCTCCCTTCTTACTTTATGTATGGAGGGGGGATCCTTGTTCCTGCTGCTTTCCCTGGTGGTCCAATGGTGAGCCTGCGGGGCTAGAGTTCATTCTAGGCGAGAGGAACCTGGAGGCGCTGCCGGCAATAGCTCCCCGGGTCCTCTCCTGCCTCCCTCACTGCCTGTGGGGAGGGAGGCTGAGAGCAGAGCCGGCGCTCGGATAGCGCCGGGTCTGCATGAGCCGACAGGGGAGATCCTGAGATCTCCCCTGCCGGTCTCACTCCATAGGCGTGCCGCAGGGATTAGGGTGTGCCCAGGCACACCCCATGCGCACGTCTATGTCCAGTCCAATGCTCTTCAGATGGGACCAGCACTCACTTCCTCCCAGGCTGCCTAGTCAGCAATACCCATCAAGTGGCCCTAAGAGTATGGGCCATCCAATGGGCTCCTCCCAGCATGTGGGCCCCGGTGCAGCTGCACTGGTTGCGCTGATGGTAATTCTGCCGCTGTTGTTATGCTAAAACATAACAACAAAAATAGTAAAATAGTCAATTTGGAGAATTTTCCCGGTTCTGCAGTTTTGATCTTACATTTTCTTAACAATTGTCCCCAATTTCCAGTTTTGTTAATACACCCAGTATAAATCTCAATGTTTTCATTGTAGTTGCTGTCAGGAAAACAACCACTAGAAGCGCTTCCACAGCTATAGCCGACTTACACGTGCGGTAAATCACCAAATTAATATATATATTACACAAGGTTCGTCTACATTAAAAGGTATTTATTAGAAGGCAACAACACAATACTATAAATTAATCACATACACACAGCCCAGACCCACGGAGCAACAACCCTTTTTAAATCTATCTATCTATATAGTAATCCCCTTCCCCACACGTTTGATCTCACCCACGGTTAGGCCTTCACATCTAGTAATGGCTCACTGCTGCAAGTTCAACATCACATCCACCAAGGAAGAAAAGGAAGCAACAGACAGTAACATGGTTCACCATGCTAGCACATGGCATCTGCACATCTGCTCTGCAGCACAGCCAAAAAGGAACAGAGAGGAATGGAGATAGGGGGAAGTAGTTATCTCTCTCCTGACTTGTAAAGGTAGTGAATTACCCAATTACCATATCAAAGGGTAAGGCTTACCCCCCTTGTAAGAAAGGCATACATGAGCTTGGTCACATGACCCCTGGTCACCATATTAGTTTGATGACAGAATGTCACCACAACACGGAGTTATTATTATAATGACACTAGGAAGCATTTGATTTGTGCAGCGCTGAGTTTTGCCATGCATGTGTACTAGCCTCCCAATTCTTCCAAGCATTAGATTGGCCGATACAATGAATCCCGAGGATCTCAGCCAGGGAGGTGGAGCAGCAGTACGAATACCAGCGTTCTACTTTTTTTTAAATCAGATTAGTAAATCTTCATCCTGCGGGAGTTGAGGGGGCTCATTACAGGGTTAGGATACATGTTTTGTCAAATCAGAGCAGGTTTTCTTATTGAATATATAAATCTGTATTAAGCATTTACAATCCCTTATAGCCAAAGAAATATCAGAATCTTTAGGGAACAATCGATTTAAATGCTTTCTTTCTCAAATCACTAGGATAGTGTTGTTATAAATCGATCTGCCATATGGGGACAGGATTCAAGTAACTCAGGTAAGTTACCCTATCTTTCTAATGACAGGCAGGGGATAGGTGTGTCCTTTGGGTCGCTGATCAATCACCTTTTGTAAATCGTATTTTATGATTAGAATGTATATACATTTTATCTTTCTATCCTTAGTGTTTAGAAATCTGGAAATTCTTAAAAGCAGAGATATGAGAGTGAATGCAGATAATTTGGGAATTTTAATGTAAACAGGTGATTTTACTCTATGAATTAAACTTTGTGCTTTTTCGATAAGGAAAACGTACTTTGTAGAACAAGTTGCTGAACTCCCTATTTCATAAATGAAAACTCTTTGCTACCCACACACCAATGTAATTACTGATCGGCATGTTCCCTCAAAGGTTTATTCACTAACGTGTGTGTTTTTTACAATTCATAGTGAATTTAAACTTTTTGGCTAAAATAGACAAACTGGTAAAATTCATTACACATAGTTATATTTTCATTTTGCCTATTTTGGCCTGAAGCTTGAAATTCACTTTAAATTTATTCTAACTTCCCAAAAATCCCCACTTTAGTGAAGAACCCACCCAAATATGGAGAATGTAGATGTTATATACCCTGACAGGCGAAGTGAATAACATTGATTATATTGTTACAATGGCTCCTGTCTGTCAAGGAATTGGATATATTAGTCAGCAATGGCACAGTCCGTTCTTGAATTTCATGTATTGGAAGCAGGAAAATGGGCAAGTGAAAAGATCTGAGTGTCTTTGACAAGGGCCAAACCAAATAGTGATGGCTAGATGACTGGGTCAGAGCATCCCAAAAATGGCAAGTCTTGTGGGGTGTTCCCAATATGCAGTGGTTAGTACCTACCAAAAATGGTTAAAGGAAGGACAATCAGTGAAGCGGCGTCAGGGTCATGAGCTGCCAATGCTCACTGATGCACATGGGGAGAGAAGGCTGGCCCGTGAGGTCCAATCACATAGAAGAGCTATTATAGCTCAAATCGCTGAAAAGCTTAATACTGGCCATGGCAGAAAGCATCACAATTTGCAGTTTATGAGGCTGCGTAGCTACAGACTGGTCACAGTGCCCATGATGACTCCTGTCCATTGCCGAAAGCACTTTCACCATGTGAGCGCTGGGACTGGACAACGGAGCAATCCAAGAAGGTTGTCTGGTCTGATGAATGCACAAAGTATCTACAGAAAACTAAAACTCATAGAGTAGTAATATTCATACACCAAAGATATAAAGAGTTGAGACTGATGCACTCACAAACATTCCCTTGATTGTAGGCATACCATAATCAAAGTTAGATGTCTCCAGCAGAATGAATGGGCTTGTGGGAGAAAAATAAACACATAATAAAAGATTGTTATGGTACAATATTGCAGTTTAATCTGGATGCAATTTACAGGATTTTCAGAAATGATAAGCTCATCAAATCATATAGATGTAATCCAAACTGAGTCAAGATTCTCCACTGAGAATTGAGTAGACATCTAACTTTGATTATGATATGCCTACAATCAAGGGAATCTTTGTGAGTGCATAAACTCCAACTCGTGAAATCTTTGGTGTATGAAGAGTTTAATTTTATCTTCCTGTAGATACTATGTGCATTCTTGTATATTGCTGAGGACCTGGAGGAGTCCTATTATCTATCTACAATAATTGGAGTAATCTGGGTAAAATGTATTTTATTCTTTTTACTAGATATGTGCAATTTGTTTCGTTCCGAATGTGAATTTGGCCGAATTTCGGGAAATTCGGACATTCAAATGTTTCTGAATGTCCGAAGGGAGAAGTGCTGAATTTTCGAACTTCGGAAGTGCCGAACCAAACCGAATTATCAAATTTTGGAAGTCCCGAAGTGCTTCGGATTTTTGAAAAGTGGCAAGACAAGAGAGGGAGCGAAAATGATGTGAATGATGACCCGGGAAGGGTTAAGGGTAGGGGCTGGGGTAAGATTAGGGAGCCCTACAGATATCCCGAATTTCAGAAGTGCCGAACCAAGTCAAAGTGCCAAATTGTCGAAGTTCCCAATTTGTTTCTTACATGAATTTCCAAACCCAATTTTTTGCATCCCTACTTTTTACCCTATCACTGAGCACTTTCGACATGTGTTTTTGGTCTGATGAATCACATTTTATTATAGATCAGGTGGGTGGCTGTGTGTGTGTGCCATTTACCCGGGGAAGAGACGGCAGCAGGATGCAGTATGGGAAGAAAGCAGGCGACGGAGGCAGTGTTTTGTTCTGTGCAATGTTCTGCTGTGAAACCTTTGGTCCTGGCATTCATGTAGATGTTCCTATGACACGTACTACCTACCTGGAGATTGTTGCAGACCACTTACACCGCTTCATGGCAATGGTGCCCTCTGACGGCAGTGGCCTCTTTTAGCAGGATAACACACCTTGTCACACTGCACAAAAAATTGTCAAGGAATGGTTTGAGGAACATGACAAATAGTTTAGGTGCTTGGCCTCCAAATTCCCCAGATCTCAATCCGATTGTACATCTGTGGGTTGTGCTGGAACAAATCCGATCCATGGAGGCCCCAATCACACGTGCCCACTGCTGCTTAGCCTAATCCTTCGTAATTAGCCCAAGCAGCACAGAGGTGATGGGCAGCTAGGGGCTCTCGTTTTGCATTAGAACATTAAAATGGTTTAATGCTGAATGGAAGGACGTGTCAGGGGACTCCACACACTATAACCACTTCAATGAGATGACATTGTTACAGTGCCAACATTGTTCTTTTAACTTTGTTAAATCATTTGAGATCTTTTTAGGATATTTGACAATATAACTATTGACATCTTTTTTAAACCAGCAGTGCATTCTGGGTACATATATGTTTGAATCGTTTATTGTACAATTCATAGACATAGATTTTAATCTGATTTTCTATTAGCCATTATCTGATTTGCTTTCCAATACTGTGCCCCACCATGTGAAGATATTGGTATAAACACGCCAGATCCTCATTCGGTATTTCCTTAGTCCTGCATTAATCTTTAGAGAAGTGTATTAGGAAATATTGTAAAAAAAAATATTTATTGCAGCATGTCATTCTGCAAATAGTACTTCTACAGTATCTGAGGCAGAGGATTACCTCCCAGACTGGCAAAGCATCGTGGGAATTGTAGTTTTGCAATTTGTCCTGCCCTGGGTACGTGTCATTTTACAAATTAACTAGTGGCAGTTTTTAAAATAGAAAAATTGGGCAACTTCCTAAATTCTTTACATCGTATTAGGACATACTTCTTGCACATTTTTGTGATTCAGCATTAATGTAAACTGTCCGTGTGCGGTTGGGCTGACAGATTACACGCACGCTTTGAAGTGAGCATTTATCGCCTAAATAAACCTGTCACGTCTCCCTTTAATTCCAGCCCAAATCCCCTCTAGACAAATTACTGACATGGCGAGAGAAATGCGATAAACTGCGAGATCTTTGGAAAGCAGCAGCTCATCCCAAAAGTTTGGCTCAATCCTACATCCTGCACATGGCGGAGGGATTTTTTATTTCCCAATCCTAACAGTTTTAAAATAATTACATGTTAATGCATTTGTTTCATATAGCGCTGATGGCATTTAACAGAGTGAAAAGCAGATAGAATTGTGCTCACTGCAGATGCTGCACATCCTGGGGATTAGTGGCAAACACGGAGTCTTAGAACACCACGGCCTTACTTTTATTTAATTTGAAAATAGTATAGATTTTAAAGGAATTAGCTACATAATGATTTTTCTAAAAATGGCACCAACACCAGCCTTGAATGTCCTGTTGTGTAAAACGAGAACTGTCAATCAATGTACAGCAAGTTAATAAATCCCAAAATGTGTAAATTAGCATTAACCAGGATTAGAAACCTTGCTACGTTTATAGGCAGATCCTACCTGTAACTTGTTTTAATACGAAGACATGATCTCTTTCTGTTTCGTATAGATAAGATTATTGAACACCTAGCAGGTAAATCAGACACAGCGCACAGATCTCAAAATTTTACAGCATGGTAATTGTGTCATTTAACCTTTTATCTGGCATTTGGTGAAAGCAGTAACTATTTAATTAGTCATTCCTCTGACATGCACAGGGTCACATGCCGACAATAGACAAAACAAATCTCAAAAAAAACAAAAAGGCGAGCCAGTCAATAGAAGGAGAATAAGAATAGATACACTTAAGGTTCCAAGAGAAAATGGGGAGTAACTCCTAAATGGTGCATTCAATGAGAGAAAAACAGCAAAACAAAAATTGAAAACCAAAAAGTAAATCTATAAATGTGAGAAAGGAAAAATCTATTAAAACTTAACTTTTATTGCCGGCTCCAGCGGAATGGCAGGGGGTTCCGGCAGGTACCCTTAATGGGCCACCCAGGGCCAACAGATGGACTCACCGCCCACACGTAATCACCCCATACCAAGCACCAAGACTGCCTTGCTTCAATTCCTATTGAGCCAGATAAGACCAGGGACTCTGTTACTGAATTATGGTTTAGTTTTAATATACTTATTATTTTTTTAGAACTCTTTTATTACCTAGGCCAACACTAACCGGGACGCGGGCGGCCCCCCAGGAGATACACGGGCAGCGAGTAACCCACCCTAAAAATAGGCACGCAACCATGAGACATAGGGCGCTACAAATTGATATAGTGGGCAACAGTATAGGGTTGTATATAAAAAAATACCCCTTTCTGTCTCACTAGAGATATTTTTGCCAGAAGCTCAAGGAAGCAAGGTAAAGGGTCAGTGTAGGACCCGCCTAGGGGGGTCTGCCTTGACGTTGGCAGGTGGGCATTCCCTCCAGTGGCCATTGGAGTAACTAAATGACCTCCATTTGTTGGAATATACATAAGGATTAAGGAGAGAGCGCAGGTAACTTTTTTTCTTTGGTTTTTACTATATATATTAGCTGATGTGTACTGTAGTCATTGCTGCCGCCCAGGAGTGATGGGAGTGAGCGCAGGACTTTTCTTTTTGTATTGGTGACAGTATAGGCCTCAGCCACGTCACAGTGAGTACAAAACGTATCGAGAGTTAAAGACCATGGCACCTCATAGGCGACATACACACACACGATGATTAACTAGCAGGCCTCCCCACCAAATTAGTCGGAAGGGGTCTATAGCCACCCCCGGTGTTCGACCGTTGCCCATATAGAGGCGTCTATTGCAGCTGGACCCCAGCAGAGTAAAGGGGCACCTTGGGGCTCTAGACACTGCACACATGCAGCTGTGATCCCCCAGGCCACCCCCAAGTTTTCCCACAGCAGCTAGCCTCACCTGTGCCACTAATCTCTTAAACACCCACGTCCTAAAAATGATACGTAAAAGTGGGTGGATATGGCTCCAGGCCTTAGCACCACACAGCAGGGGTACACCAGACTAGCAACAGAAAACACCAAGACATAACAAGGGCGCCCACAGACAACCCTACCCACCAACCAACCACGCTCTCCATATGAGAAATGAAAAGGTTCTCTCTGTATTGTTGTAATGGGCAAAAGGTCAGAATAATCACAGTATATCCGATAGAAACAATATATATTGTATTGTCACTACGTTGTGATATCAATATAGAGCAGCCTAGAAGCGGAGAGGAAAAGAAAAAATATATATTTATGTAGAGAGGGAATAGTAAATAACCTAATATTCGTATTAATAAAGGCTAATGTGCCTTCGAGGGCACCCCTTAACAAATAAACCTGCTCTCACACTAAGCCTCCCATCATGCCCAGTCCCAGAGAAAATAAGAGGCTAAATAATAAAGTTAGAGTAGAGGACTAATCCA